AGTTTTAGAATTTGGGTACATGGTCTGATCTTGCTGGGGGCCTCCAGAAAATGTTAATCCCACTGGGCAAGAATAAGACCACTACCACAATTTTGAGCCAAATTTGAAGGAAGCTTTATTACATGCTGGCCAGGATGATGGCCAAGTTCATATCTGGGATTCCCAGAGTATGGGATTCAGGGGCTTATAAAGGCAAAACCCACAAGACTACATATTTCATGCATTTGTCCAACCAGGGGCAAGTCTACATCCTGACATACCTCCTGCCTATTGTGATAACATGCATATACTGTGCAATTGGTATAACCAAGCTTGTTACAGAAGTGAAAACACATGGCTTGTTATCTTATGTGAACAGCTCCCAGCATTCCAAGAAGCTATCTGTCCTTGGGCAAACGGGGCTTACAGGTTAGAGGCATTTTTGTTTTATAGATCTCTTAAGCACAGCAATTTAAACTTAAAACATAACTTTAGCCATCACATGTCCACACTGTATACACTACCTGCCCATCAGTGACTTACGAGTACTTTCACTTATCAGATTGACTGTGGTGGTGTTGTAATACTTGAACTCACAGAACACTTACTTTACTTAATAATGGTCCCAAAAGGCAAGGATAGTGATGCAATTCAGATAACACACACACACACACACACACACACACACACACACAAAAGCTGGGCATATAGCTCAGTGGTAGAGCCTTGTCTACCTTATGATCTTAGGTACAGTTCCAAGAATCTTAAAAAAAATAAAAAACAAAGTCGACATACAATGTATACCCTATTTGTATTTGTGACTGGGGAGCTGGCTCAGTTGGTAAAGTGTGAGAACCTAAATTCGGATTCCCAGAACCCACAGAAGAAGCCTAGAGAGACCATGATCCCAGTAATAGCAAGACGAGAGTCAAAGTTAGGCAGCGCTCTGGGACCTGCTGGCTAGCTAGCCTCACCTATTTGGTAAAGTTCCTGGCCTTCATCCATGTGCACACATACTTACATGCGTACCCTGCACCCCCACATGGACATGTACCCACACATCAACATGCAAACACACATGCATACAATAAAAATATATCAAGAACTTCCTTTAAGTAAAAACATGAAAATGATTCACTTATTAGGGGAAGGAAGAATCGCATGCGGAAGTAGCTGAGAATGAAATCTATCTATCTGTGAAGCTGTTGTTCACATTATCATTTTTAGTTGAGTCTTTTTTTTTTTTTTTGGTTTTTCGAGACAGGGTTTCTCTGTGTAGCTTTGCGCCTTTCCTGGAACTCACTTGGTAGTCCAGGTTGGCCTCAAACTCACAGAGATCCACCTGGCTCTGCCTCCCGAGTGCTGGGATTAAAGGCGTGCACCACCACCGCCCGGCTTTTAGTTGAGTCTTAAATTCAGTGCATTAAGCTAAAAAAACATACACCTATCCTTTAAAAATTGTTGCGAATTGCTTTGGGACCTAGTATGCACTCAATTTAAAAATAGTAATTTAATGTGTGTTTAAGAATAAGGGTAAGTAGATTTTTATCAGGTTTTACAGGTCTCCACATATGTCCATTAAATCAATATTACTTTCTTGTTGAGCTTTTTTGTGCTTAGTAACTTTTTTGCCTCTGTGACTAGTTAACAGTGAAGGAACTGCATTAAAGTATTCCGTTGTTTTGATTTGTTGATTTTTTTTTTCAGTTTTTGAGACCACGGATTTGCTTTGTATATTTTGAGACTATTTCATTTGGTACCTGCAGGTTGAGAATTTTTATATAACTGTGCTAAAATGAAATTCTCTTTTATTTATTTTTAAAAACTGTTTTATGTATGTGAGTGTTTACCTGCATGTATGTCTGTGCACCTGTATGTGTGTGGTGTCCATGGAGACCAGCAGAGGGCATCAGATCCATTGGAACAGGAGTTCCACATGGGTGCTGGGAATCGAACCTGGGTCTTTGGTTTTCTGGAAGAGCAGCCAATGCTCTTAACCTTTGTGCCATCTTTCAAGCTCCTCACCTTTAAATTTGTTTTTAAATCAGCATGCAAGTAACAGGTTTTGTTACAGCATTCTCACATACACTGTGTTTTTGTTGATCCTCCTCCACACTCCTCTCCCCCATCTCCCTTCGAAATTAAATTCTGATCATGTTATTTCTTTTTAAGTTTAGTAATTCTCCCCCTGCCCTTTTAAAAAGTCTCAAATTCAAGGTCCTCTTGAGTCAGCCTCCAGAGTGCTGGGATTAGAGGTGCGTACCACCATGCCACCATTGTTTAAAAGAACAATTCCATTCTTTTAAAGCTAATTGGTCCAATATGAACCCAGCTTTCCCATGCTTTTGGTTAGAATTCATCTTGCCCAGGGGCGGCACCACTCTGACGTGAGCCGGGCTCTCCCCCGTCAATCATCAACCAAGACCACCCCCACTGACATGCGCATAGGCCAACCTGGTGGCGGCGGTTCTTCACTTGAGGACCCCTCTTCTCGGGTGTGTTGTAGTAGACAACCGAGATTGCTTATCACAAGGACTTTCCCCTAAGATGGTTCAGAAAAAAAAAAAAAGTTATGTGTATCTACAGAGTAAGAGAGAGAATGAAAATAAATGAGTAAAATGTTAACAAGTGAAGGAGAGCAAGGAGGATGGGGTATTTCGTGTGTTATTCTCCGTTCTGCAACTTTTCCTCAGTTTGAGTTCTTTTCCAAATAGAAGACTAAAAACAAAAACTGCCTTTAAAATTTGTTAAAGGGCCAGGCGGTGGTGGCGCACGCCTTTAATCCCAGCACTCGGGAGGCAGAGGCAGGTGGATGTCTGTGAGTTCGAGGCCAGCCTGGTCTACAGAGCGAGATCCAGGAAAGGCGCAAAGCTACACAGAGAAACCCTGTCTCGAAAAACAAAAACAAACAAACAAAAAAAAAATTTGTTAAAGGAAGGCTGAAAAGTGGGAGGAAATCACGTCATTTGTTACGTCATCCAACCTTAGAGTCATCTAACTGCCGGCGCTTATGAACTAGTCTCTACAGTTGGGCTCCTTCGGCAGCCGCCTGTAGAGGATGCATATGAGAGGGGAGCCACAGCCTTCGAAGGACTCCGTTCCAGTTTAGCATAGCAGCTGGACATCTTATAGAGGCTACAGCCTATAGCCTAGAAGAAACAGGATTTAAAGACGGAAAGATAAAAACGTGCATTCGGTTTCAATGCCGCTACGCCTCTGTCGACTGAGTTCTGAGTGGTCTAACCTGCCCACCCCTTCCTGGCGGATGTCTTTTGTGGGACACCCTGGGAAGCCATGCTGCCTGTAGTCACTGCAGAGTTCGCTGCCTCGAGGCGCTGCATGGGTTGCTTTTCTGTTGCTGTGATAAAATACCACGGCCCAAAGTGAGTTCTAGGAGAAAGAGTTTATTTTGGCTTATGGTTCCAGAGGGATAGAGTCCGTCATGGCGGGAAAGGCATGGCTTGACAGTAGGAACAGGAAGCTTGCTGATGGCAGTTTCAACCCCACACAGAAAACAGAGAAAGCAGCGGGGTGGGGGGGTGGGGGGTGTGGGGAGGTGGGGGTGGGTGGGGTGAGGCTATAAACCCCCCAAAGTCACTCCCAGTGATGTATATTTTCTAGCAAGACTCCACCTCCTAAAGGCTCCATAATCACCCCACTCACTGGGGACCACATGTTCAGATACATGTGCCTGTGAGGACCATTTCTTACTAGAACCTCACCAACTGCCCGTGATTAATGTGAGATGGGACCACAGGTAAACATTCCTTCAGGACAGCGTGCAGCACCAGCTCCAGGAATCTCTGGAAGGCAGTGGTCCTCAGCAGGCTGCACCCGTGACTCGTTCTTACATCGGCTTTCCCTCCACTGCTGGCCCACGCCTGACTGTTTCCTGGGACCACAGGAACAGCCCGTGCATCAGCTTTGGCCTCTGGTAGAATGGTGGGAAATTGGGAGAGAAAAATGTACTGGGGTTTTCTTCTTCAGGGGGGACTTAGGCCAAGATCAAGGTGTCACTGGAAGAGAATCTAACACTCAAAGGGGGAGGGTGCTGACTGGTAATTTAGCGGAATCCCCACCGTCCTGAGCAGCAGAGTAAAGCAGGTTATGTTTATATTAAACACCAATGAAGAACTCACCATCCTCCTGCCTCTGCATCATGTGTCCCCTCCCCCATCCAGTTCTCTTCATTTTTGTTTTCTCCGTCTCTCCCCTCACGTCTCTACTCTCTGCTCACTATTGGTCTGTGTTCTCTTTGCTTTGTCGTTCTCTGGCCCCCTTGTCTCCTTCCGCTTTATCCTCTTCCCATCTCCTCTCCACCATCACTCTGTTTTTCTGATCCTTTTATCTGCCTTTCCCCACTGTTAGTGAACAAAGTTGGAGTCAGTCTCGCTTGCCGGACCCAAGACCTGCGTAATATCTCACATTTGGGAGGGAAGGGCAAGATTAGACCACATCTCCCAGGAAGGCTTTGCTAGACAGTAGTGGGACTGATCTCTAATAGTCCTTTCTTCACAAATGAAAAAGAATTGATGAGAGGATTGGCAGAAAGTATGACGTGTGTGCATGTGCGTGCGTGTGTGTGTGTGTGTGTGTGTGTGTGTGTGTGTGTGTGTGTGTGTGTGTATAGCCGAGGCTGGCCTTGAACTCATTGTGTAGTCAAGGATGGCCTAGAACTCTCGATCCTCCTGCCTCTGTCTCCCAAGTACTGGGATTACAGGTGTGCACCATTACATCAAACTGCTCACCTTCCTCTGGAGGTACAGAAGCCCCGAGTTGACTTTCAGAACCGGCACTGAGTAAGCGGCCCCTCAGCCCAGTCTCCTCTCTCCAATCTGCTCTTTGGCTGGCTCGCGCAAATGTATTCATGGCAAGGGGTGGGCAAACAGATCTGGAGGCTTTCTGGGAGACTCATGAGGAAACCACCATGGCCTCTTCTCAGGGTGACACAGAGCAAAAGCCAGCTGTTCGGAGGGATCTTCTCGCCAGTCTTTAAAACCATGTCAGCACATACACACAGCCACATTTCAAGACCACTTTATTACCAAAACAAACAAAGGAGATTGGCATTTAAATAAATTATACAAATATCTCAAGAGGTAAGGTTTGTAGCCCTTCCAGGGAATCCTATGTCACAGGTCAGTGTCTGTAAGAACATCCACAGCAATTGAAAATCGGGATTATTCTGTTCCCTTGCGCCCTCCCTTCCTGCCTCGGTCATGTCCAGAGCGGCAGTCTGTGTGATGTTTACACTCTGCCCCAAGAGTTGCAACTGTGGAGTTTTCTTGGGATCTTTTTTTTGTACCCCTGTCCCCTGTGTTTCTAATAACACCTTCACTGTGTGTTCTGAGTGTATACAGCCTCAACATGTTGCCGATCCTTGCCCCCTCCCCCCAAAACAAACCCAAACCCCAGGCCACCGGTGAGTCAGCAATCCCTTTCAGTTCCAGGCCTGACCTGCAGGTTAATGGGATCTAGACACTTGGTTTAAAAAGGCCTTATAATGTCCTCCGGCTCTGTGACCTTCTGCTTCTTGGACTTTGGAGGAGGTGGAGTAGGGGAGGGTAAATTGTCATTGGTTGGGGTTTTCTTCCTCCTGGAATTTGGCACTTTGAGTGCTGGGCACAGTGAATCCCAGATAACATTGTCTTTCAGCCTTCCAAGTTTTGGGCTCCATTGGCAGCCAGATGGCATAATGAATTCACTGAGACGCAGCAGCTGTGGCCAAGAATGTGCTGGCTGTTTGTCAGAGCCCTGTGCCTTAACTCTGCGGAGGAGCCTCATTGGCTCACTTCACACATGGACACAAAGCAAAGGTCAGGTTCAAGTTAGGAAGAAGTGGGATGCTCTCCCAGGTTGGGCCGGCCCAGCCTGTTGGCACAGGGGTCAGGACTGAAGGAACCTGGAGAACAATGGGGAGAGGCCGGATTTTCTGTGTACTTGTATGGCAGTTTTACAAGGGGTGTGTGTGTGTGTGTGTGTGTGTGTGTGTGTGTGTGTGTGTGTGTGTGTATGTGTGAGAGAGACAGAGAGACAGAGAGAGAGACAGAGAGAGAAACAGAGAGAGACAGACAGACAGACAGAAACAGAGACAGAGAACCTATTTATTTTCAAGTCAACAGTGGGATGTCTCTAGTTACTTCCCTGTCTTCCTGAGAATTTAATTCCCATTTTCATCTTTCCTGGGGGAAAGAGGTCCTGAGAGGGTTAGGAGTTCCCTGTAGAGGAAGATGCAGTCTGGAACAGTCCTTCACATCTGTACCCAACTGGATGCTGAAGCTAGCACCTCAGAACTTCCTCCTCCGCCTGTCAGGACCTCCCGCCACAGCTCCGGGCTACAGGCTGATAAGAGAGAGTTCAAATCGCTGGCTTTTTCCAAGCGGAAATGGACACGGCAGAGTTCCCAAGGGGAAGCGCCGTGGGCTCTGAGGTCAGGTGGACTGTCAGGCCTCGGACCCACTGGTTTGCCCCGAGTTTGCGTTAACAACGACTCCCCTTTCCATGTCTCTCGCACAAAGAGGGGTTCTCGAAAGGTTTTGTGCGTAACAGCTGCCGCTGTATCGTTGGAGGATTTTGCTGGCCACCTGCTCCCCAGAATGGGGCAGCTTCCAGGCAGGGGACGACTCAAGAGGCCCAGTCAGCTCCCTGGTGGGTTGTCCCTGGAGAGGTAGTGCTGACAGTCTGGGGGGGGGGGGCTGCCCACCGCCCACACTAGAGTCTGACGTGCTGGACAGCAATGGGGATCCTCAGCAGTCTCAGGACAGTGAGAGAAAGGGGCACAGAGACAGAGACTCCTGGATTGTGGGTAGTACCGTGTCTTTGAGGCACAAGGCTGACAACTATAAGGCAATTGGAGGGACAAGTGTCAACATTCTAACCCAGTCCATCCCTGTGTCCCACGACAGCCTGAGACCCTCCGAGGCCAGACCACCCAGGCCACAGACCCGTCTGAACTGCACTCCAGCTCAGGACAGTTGCTCTTATCTTTCCGTTCTTGGCTCACTCTTAAGGCTGGAAGTCAAGGTGTCCATCAGCTGCCATGGGTGGGGCATGAGCAGATGGGCAGAATAAGCTTACTGCTGGCCCAGGCTTGAGTGGGAAGGGAAGGGTGATGAGGTGGGTCCACCAGGCTCTCATCCTTGCCAATCCTTGTCTGGACAGGCTCCTCCAGATGCAGAGGCTAAGATGGCTCTCTCCCAGGGAGACAGGGAAGGTGGCGGGGGGGGGGGGGGGGAGTCAGAAAACAAGGAGTTGAGAGAGGATCTAGAGCCTTGGTGGACGGACACTCTTCTCTCTGTCACTCCCTGTGGTCCTGGGCTTATCGTCCATGGAAATCCCAGGTGCCAGGTGCTCAGGAGGCAGTATGGGAACCAAACGAGCCCTCACAGGGCAGTCAGGGTCTCTGTGTGAAACATGCTCCCGAACATCTCCTGCAGAGACCACAGGAAGGAAGGGTGAGGGCAAGGGAGTGTTGGACCTGCTGGAGTTAGAGCGGCTGCAACCAAGAGGTGACTATGCACCACAGGCCAGAAGGAAGCATCCTGAGTGAGATTCTGTGTGCAACTGAGCAGGGGCGAGGCAGGCTAGCATAAGACATGAGCTGGTACTGGGGGGATGGGAAAAAGTGCTGGTAGCATCTAACTGTGTATTGTGTCCCATCGGCCTGTGCTATGTGTTTTTTTTACACTTTCCTCTCTGAGTGTCAGCTTCATTAGGTAACACCAACGTCAAGACAAGAGAAGCTGTATTATTTCTGTCCCATCTAGATTTTCAGTTTTTAGGAAATATGCTGGAGATTCCAAGAGGACATGGGGATCAGCCTGTTAGATCTCAGGTGTCCTCGCCTGTCATCAGTACTCTGAGTGACATACTCAGAGGACCATGGGACTCAAACCCAGAAAGAATGGGAAGAGAGATGCTACTTTTAACGGGTTCAAGTCCAGATGTCTCTAAACGCACTCACCTGCTCTCTTTTAATTCCGGGCACTGGAATGATGATAAATTTCGCAGGCCCCAAGCAGGCAGTAACAGCTTGTATTGCATAGCTTTTAGTTTTTTGTTTGTTTGTTTGTTTTGATTTATTTATTTATTTATTTATTTATTTTAAGTCAGTCTTTTTATTTTGCTTCTCAATAGCTGCTATTACTTTTTTTATTTATTATATATACAGTGTTCTGCCTGCATATGTGCCTGCACTCCAGAAGAGGGCACCAGATCTCATTATAGATGGTTATGAGCCACCATGTGGTTGCTGGGAATTGAACTCAGGACGTCTGGAAGAGCAGCCAATGCTCTTAACCTCTGAGACGTCTCTCGAGCTTTTAGTTTTAAATGCTTATCTAGTTGCAGTAATAATTCATTTATGCCCCTTAAACTTCATCGAATTCTCCCAGAATGTAGTTTCCAAAGAACAGGGGCCTTTGTTCACTGCCTGTATGTCCACCTGCAACAGCGTCAGGTAAGCAGTAGGAGTTCCATGAACACCTCATGAATTGATGGAAAACGAGTGGCCTTGTCTGCCAGTCCTGGTGGGGACAGCTGAACTAAATGTGTCTTATTTTACAGACAGTAACAACAGGCCCAGTGATGTCGCGTGGATTGGCCACAGTCACAGGGTTGGCACACCAGAGATTTAAGAATAGACAGCAATTCTCTGGGACTTGGTCCAGAGGCTCTCTCATTCCACAGGATGCCTCTGTGTGTGTGTGTGTGTGTTTATGTGTGTGTGTGTATATGAGTGTGTATACATGTGTGTGTGTGTGTGTGTGTGTGTGTGTGTGTGTGTGTGTGTGTGCTGATGCTGAGGGGAATCGAGATCTATTATTACAAGAAAGGGGAAACCTCGCCACCCTCAAGGTTGCTGCTCTGAACTGGAGAGGACAGGGAGCAAACACCTTCTGCAGAAGCAGGTCCCCCTCCCTCTCCTCCCTCACCCTTGCCCCTCTACTCACCCGCTCTAAGTCCCAATAGCTGGGACCGTCCTCTTCGGAGTCACACAAGGAGAGCTCAGTGTCTCCCGGAGCCTGAGGGAAGGGAGCGGGTGCAGGGTGAGTTTGGGTATCGGAGGGAGGTGCACGGTGGCAGGAAGGATGTTTGAGAGGACCCCACGCTTCCCTCATCCCCTTCTCTGGCCCTCCCCTGGCTGCCTCATGATACAGCACAGCCACAGGCAGGTGCCCATAGGACCTGCCTCATGGGCATTATAGGCAGGGAGGCACAGGCTGCCTGACCTTGGAATTCCTTTCCTTTCTCTGGAATTCTGCAAAGGCAGGATAATCTGACTCCCTTTTCTGGCTTTCTTACTGTACTGTTCTAAGGTGTGTGTATGCATTGTGTATGTAATTCATAATAGGTAACAGAGACTATATGCAATGTAAATTTTTGTAAATACTAAAACAAGGTTGGGAGGGATGGCTTGATGGGCAAAGGCACTCATCACCAAGCCAGAGAACCCAAGTTAGATTCCCAGGACCCACATAACTGGATATTATTGGTGAAATGATAAGTAAGGATTCTCCAAGAGTCCCTGTGGACAAAGCTCATGAATCAGAATGCTTCCATAGTCTCCCAGGCCCTGCAAGTGAGAGGAGGCTGGGTCTGGCTCTTCAGCTTCTGAAGTTTTAGACAGTTATTTGTATCTCATATCACTCCCTGAGCTAGTAAATTAAATGCCAAGAGGCTGAGACAAAACTCAGCCTCTCCCTCCAAGCCTGAAATCTCCAAGCCAGGACACCCACTACAAAACAGTGAAGGTGGTGGCCGGCGAGACTCCAGATACACGGAGCAGTCAGTAAAATTATGTTTTTGTATAAGAATGTATAACCATTACTTCACCCTAACCAGAAACAATGAAAAGCCACGTGTGGCAGGTGATGGTTGGTGGTGCCCATTCTACAGATAGGGAAACGGAGATTCAAGAGTGTGGTGGCAGAATTGGTGATGGAACTGAAACCATCTCCCGTTCTTTCTAACATGCATTGGTCCTCCTGTTTGTGGGAGCCCTAGGATTCTTCAGGTGTGTGTGGAGGGAGACCTTACCCCTTGGAAGCTGCTTGCCGGGGCTTGTCTGGTATTCGCCTGGGCAAAGAGGACCGCATCGTGGATGCTGGGGAACACGTGATTGCGCTGGACACACCCATCTTCAAAGACTCCTCCATGGCTGATGTCATTGTACACCTGGGCTGGAAGGAGACAGGTACGGTGAGGAAAAAGGAGCGGCCTTTGTGGTTTGGAGCTGGAGGGAGGGAGGGGCTGGTGAAGAGGACAATTGGCCCTGCAATATCAGTTCTGGACAGCAGAGGGCAGTACGATCTTGAAAATACTGAGCCCTCAACCTAGTGCGGAAGGAAGTTTTTGGATTTGAGAAGTTGCTTGCCAAGGAAAGGTTAACACATCACACTCTGGAGATGGTTTCCGGGGAGTGTTCATCGAGGGTAAGAGTAATGAACATGCTCATTATGGGGCCCTTGCAGAGTCCCACTGGGCGGTATCTGCACATCTCCTTCATATATCTCTTGGGTCCTTGTGTGCTGTCTGTACTAGGCATAGGTGAAAATTCAGTGAGAGTCCTTTGCTCTGAGGCATGTCCTTGGAGCTGCTTAAAGCATGCTCTGGAGACAAGTGTCTGGGAAGTTAGGGTATGTGGGTTTTCTGGGGTTCTACAGATCCATGGATCTTATTTGGAAAGGATCCCAAGTCCAACCAGCCAAACCTCCGATTTACATGGGTGAAGATGGACCCCAAAGAGTAAAGTGACTTGGCTGACCTGAGTCAGGATACATGCAAGTTAGCGGCAGTGGCGAGCAGATTATAATCCTGTCTGCTCTCAACCACATCAACACACCCCGCCCCCAGGATGCTCACCAACCTGTCCCCTCTGCATCTGCACCCCCTCCAGCCTCTGGTCCCCTAAAGGCCCACCCAAGCCCCACTTTCCTTACCATGGATGTTCACCAGGAAGATCTGGACTCCGATCTTCCCGTAGGTGGAGCTCAGCTAGAGGGGTGGGGAGGGGAGAGGAGGGGAGGAGGGGAAGGCAACGGGGGAGAAAAGAAAGGAAAGGAATGTTCTGAGTGGGTCTTAAGAGGGACTCACGAAACACACTCCAGAGGGGAAGCCAAACAAACAAGCCGTCCTGAGGGCCCTGGCAGCCACAGGCATGAGTGGCAGAGCACACCCCACGTCTCTCTGGAGTGTTGGCCAAGGCCTCTCTGAAAAGTGGAGCGGAAATGGGGCTTTGCCAGTGTGGCAGACACTTAAAGTCACCGTGGCCCTTTTTCAATGCTCAGGACCAAGGCTGGGTTAGGCAACGTGGTGAAGTCCGGGAATCCAGGTCCAGGCTAGAGAAGCTAGCAGAGCTCAACACCAGGGAGGGACCTTTGCTGTCCCTGTCCGGTAGTGACATCAGCCAGTACAGTCTCTGTGCCCCTCTGACCTCCTGGGTTGCCTTCATCCGAGCCCTTCCGAGGCTTGCTGTCAAACTGACGTTTACAGGGCCACTGATTAGTAATCAGATGGGCCCTCCTATCCATGGCATTCGCAGGCTGCCTGTTTGGGGCACACCATTGTTATGGTTCCCTCTCTCCTGACGTGGCTGTTGAGTGCAGGAAGGGGCAGCAGAATCAGGGGCCAAACTGGCCTCATTCAGAGGATCCAAGGTGGGTTCTGGGGGACTGATGACGTAAAAAAAGAACTCAGGATGGCCTTGGTGGATGTGTTGAGGCTCAGGGAGCTTGCTCCAACACCTCATTGCCCTAAGAGTGTACCCACCCTGCTCCCTAGGGTCTGGAACCTCCTTCAGCGAGTTCAAACGAGGGCCTGGAGGGAAGTGGGCAGGAGTAGGGGCACACACACCCTCCTCCCTGCCTCACGAGGCCTCACCTTGGCTAGGGTTTTGATGCCCATCAGGTCCACGAAGCTGACTCCACTCATGTCGAGGATGAGAGTGTGGAAGGTGACGAAGGGTGGGACGCTGGCGAGCGTGTCACTAGGCTCCCTGGGGGACTGAGCTGAGGTGGGCGGCTCACACGGGGCAGCTGCCGAGGTGTTTGGGCTGAAGGTGATGTAGGATATGTTGGCGTCCCCTGCAGGCGCTTGGTTATTGTTGGGGTCAGTTGAGGGAGCCGTTTCAAAGTCCTGCTGGAGTTCCTGCAGAGAGACCGTCTGTGGGAGGGAAGGGGACAGTCAGGGACTGTGACAGGTGAACCCCAAGCAGAGGCAGGTAACATCTCAGCTTGGTAGTGGATACAGGCTTCCCCTAAAGTCCTTCCTGCGGGAGGTCTGCAAGCTTCTCTCTCTCCCAATCCAAGTGGGAAGAACCTTCCAGAGAAGCCGGCAGCCTTGGTCACTCAGCTTGAGAGGAAGCCCCTCGAGAGACAGCAGGACTCCCTGTAAATTTGTCCATGCCTGCCTGCTTCTCCCACCCTCTCACCCTCACACAGCCTGGGCACCTAGGAAATTCCCACTGGAGATAGGGGGCAGTGGTTACTCCGGGAGCTGGCAGCCTTCCCTTAGAAGGGTGCCCAGCAGCGCTCTCAGAGACTTCCTGCCTGCCTCTCAATGTGCTGGAGGCTGGGAGCCAGGGTCAAGATCAGAAAGGGCATGGAGGTGGTCCTGGCCTCAGTTCACCTTGGTTTTCATGAAGAGGGACTTCCTCTGCTGTGTGGGCATCGACACTCTCTTCTCCTGCCTCCGGAGATATTTCTGCTTGGCGAGCAATATTTTCTGGGGGTCCATACCTGTCTGTGGGGAGAGGGCCAACAGCAACCTTGGTCTCAACCTTTGTGGGATGGCCTGCCCTTGGCTCCTAACCCCTTTCTGCCTCCCATCTTCCGGCCACTCTCTCTTCAGCCCTCTGGTCAGCAAGGATGGAGCCTTACCTTGGCAATGACCTTTTGCCTGAAGATCTCTGAGTTGGCAAAGTAGAGCGGGGAGCAGTAAGTCACAATCTTAACCCCCTCAATTTCCTGGACCTGTGACAGGGAGACTGAGCTCAGGTCACAGATAGGTCTCGGGGAGGGGACAGAGTGAAGCAGGGAGGTCCCGAGCTTGGATGACGTACCCTGTTGTAGGTCTTGGGGTTCACATAGATGTCCGTGTCCATGACCTGGGCTAGTGTGGAGCCATTTCGACTGGAGGGAGATGGGGAGGGTGGAGGGTAAGGATGCTAGCAGCTTGGAGAGATTCTGGGGCGGGGACAAGGAGAACCAGCCAGGACTCCTGTCCTCAGGCAGGCTGGTTTGTTAGTCTTTCTGCCCTGGGGACCTGGGCCTGCTGGGCTGCGGCTGGTCTACAGCCAGGCATATGTTGATGTAGCCCCCCAGACTGGGACTCAGGAGAGAGAAGGCCACACAGGTGACAAAGCCATCACTTCCTGGCTTCTCCTACACTCAGCATTGTCCTTAGCCACACCCTGACCTCCTCGGTAGCATCCTCGGCCTGTGCTAATGGCTTCTTTTGGAGGAGTCCGTCCTCTGACCTAGTGTTCTCCAGGGCAGGGTCCCATTTGAGCTGAGGTTCCCACAGTGCTTCTGGAAGGGCGGGTGGGAAGGTCTACTCACCCTTCCTTGTCTGTTCCCCCCACCTCACCCCCAGCCCCCTGAAACCATGCTGGTTTGCTCTGGGGTTTTCGGGGACAGACATCACACAGCTCAGTCTATGCCCACCGTCCTGGCTGGGTTATCTACTTCTGAGGTCTGGCAGCCAGCATGTCCCTGTGCTGGGCCCAGAAGGCAGAGGGGACAGTGTGCTATGCTGGGCCTTGGCCTGGGAGTGCCCTTGCAGACTGGCCCAGCAACCTCAGACTGGGCCAGGGAGGGATGAGGTTGTCACTTACAACTGGGTCTGGAAGACCACAACCAGGATGGAGAAGGCGACGCCCACTGCTACGCCATAGGGCAGGCTCAGGAAGAAGGAGGAGAGGAAGCTGACCACCCAGACACACTGTGAAGAGAGAGAGGTCAGTCTGGGGAGAAAAACTGCCCCTTTCAGGAAGTCTTCTGGGGTTAGCCAAGGCCCTAATTGGCCTGCCCAACTCAGATCTCTCCTTCCGTTCTTGCTTAATTTTTGTAACGGGTCACGTGCTGGTACTTTGGTTTGCTTGCCCGTTTCTCTTACATGGAGTGCAGCTCTTGATTTTTTTTTTTTTTTCAGAGCTGGGGATTGAATGCAGGGCTTCACATCCTAGACAAGTACTCTACCATTGAGCTCCACCCCCCAACCCCAGTCCTTGGCCTAGTTTTAAAAATAGAATTCTAGCCTTCTATTTTCACAGATGGTAGAAGTGTGCACCGAGAGACGGCATGAGCAGAGCCAGGAGAGCATGCCCTGGGCTCGGGCGCTCCCCGGGTTCAAAGCTGGGTTCTGGATTGTGTAGCTGTGTGGGCCAGTTTTCTAGTTCATAAAAGGGAAAATGAGGTCCACTCAGCAAGAAGATTGAAAGGTCAGAGAGCCATCGTTCCTGGGCTTGCAGGGTGCTCCTAAGAAAACGTGAGCTTTCTTCCTGTCTGACAGTGACGTGTGTGTGTGCGTTGATGGGAACTCAGCTCACGAACAGAAAACGTGGGGCAGGGGACCTGGTTGGGTGTGTTGTCCCCCAAGGGCCCTCAGGAGCCTCTGAATGGCTCTGTTGGGATGTCTCTAGAGAGACGCAGACAAGATCAAGTCACATGGCACCATATGGCTACAAGGGACTGTGGTCATAGCCAGGAGATGGGTGCCGTGTGGTAAAAGCAGATCCACGAGCTGGGAATTAGAACATTTCATTTCTTCCTATCTCTGTCACTCGCCAGGAGTCCTCAGAGGGACCACACATTTCCTGACTTTAAAGATTTCCTTTCCTTGCCAGGCGGTGGTGGCGCACGCCTTTAATCCCAGCACTCAGGAGGCAGAGCCAGGCGGATCTCTGTGAGTTCAAGGCCAGCCTGGGCTACCAAGCGAGTCCCAGGAAAGGCGCAAAGCTACACAGAGAAACCCTGTCTCGAAAAACAAAAAAAAAAAAAAAGATTTCCTTTCCTATGTGGTGTGGGCAAGCCTCTGCCTATGAGAGGCAGGACAGTCCAGAAGTCTGGAGCCTAGCAGGGAGTTTCCAGCCAGACCCTGCCTCTTTCTTCCTCCATTGCCTCTGATGATTTATTTACGTAACCATGCTGAACCTCGATTTTTGTCATCCCCAACAGCGTTTAGTAAGTCTCGTCTCTGGGCTATGGTGGGTGAGCTTAGGTGGAAATAAGGCAGCGTCAGTACACTGGACCCTTTATCAGTACTGCCTGTGAAGGCACAGCTCAAGTATGAAGTCACCATCGCTGGATGTTTTACGTAGCATGGCGCTTACCCATTGTGATTCATCTAATCTTTAGAGCCGATCTTTGATGCGGAACACAACCTCATCCCACACACAGATGGGGAAGTAGAGCCCTAGAGAAGTCTCGAAGCTTGCTCAGGATCCTGATCTTCTGGTTTTATGTTCTAAGCTTTTTTTACGGAGCGATCTCCTTTGATTAGGGGAGGTGTGGGTAGTAAGTTATAAAAATAATAGCTACTACGTTCTGTTGACCACAAGTGCAACTCAGACCACACGCAGTTCCCTAATCCCGTCTTCTTCACGAGCCATCCTGAAGTTGGATGTGCTCACTTCACAAGCGCGGAAGCCGAGGCTTCGAGAGGTAAAGGAGTTTGCTATTGGCTACAGAGCCAGGGAGTGGTTGAGTTAGGTTTGAACAAAGAATGCCTCTCTCTGAAGCCTGGCTTCTCAGCCCCTGGGAACTAGAGACAGGAGGGTCTTGCATCAGGCCAGAGCTGCGGGGTTAGAGGAGGGTGGGAGCATCTGTGGGTCACTGGAGACTACCCCGCACTTACGCAGTCCAGCTTGCTCTTCCTCCACAGGTAGTAGGGGTCACTGAGTTGCTTGAGGGAGTTCTTGAGGTTGACAGCTATCAGGGCTCCTAGCACAGCCTGGAGAAGCAGACCATTGCTTTGGGTCACTTGCGGTAGCCCTTCATCTTGTCCTTCCCCCACACACCTGCCCCTGGAGCCTGGCAGGACAAAGCTAGAGTTCCAGGGCTTTCCCTAAACTCCCCCTCAATCTTGGGATTGGAAAGTACAGCCTCTTGAGCCAAAGGGTTCATTGTGGTCCCGCCTTTACATTTACCCTCTCTCTGCATCCCCGAATGACTCACACCTTACATGTAAGAGGCCGTGTGGGTGCCCTGCGTATGGTGATATTTTATTTGTATTAAAATGTTATTTGTATGTTAATAAATAAAGTTGCCCGGGGGTCAGAGCTGTTAGCAAGCCATAGGAAAGCAGGGCAGTGGTGGCGTACGCTTGTAATCCCAGCACTTGGTAGGCAGAGCTGGGTAAGTCTCTGTGTGTTCAGGGATACAGCCATTATTGGATACACATGCCTTTAATTTCAATACCAATCATAGAAAACCTGGAAGCCTATACAGACAGGCCGTGACGAGGCGGTCATGTGGTTGGGTTTACAACCAATGAGAAGGCAGAACAGGAACTCTATATAAAGACTTTAACACAGGGGTAGCTCTGGTTCGGAGAGGTAGGACCACCGCAGGAGGAAGGGTAAGGTTTTAGCTCTTAGCTCTGACCTCTTGGCTTCCTTCTTTGCATTGGTTCTGTGTTTCTTATTTAATAAGAAGGTTGGTTACATCTACACCTGCGCTCCCCGATACCTTGTCCTCTACCCTTCAGCAAAGAGACCAAGCTCCCAGAAATCCACAGGTTGAAACCAATCCCACACAGCCTCACTAGACAAGTCAGACTGTCAACCTCAGTCTCCCTCACCAGTGTAACCCAGAAAGAAGATCTCTGTTGTTTACTTCATAGGGTACTGACACCAAGTGTGACAGTGGTGGCCCTTGGCAACCCAACAAGTGCCACTCCCACTCTTCGGGATTGTTCTTGCTGGAGGCTGTCATTGTCCCCTGCTCTCAGCTGGGCTCTTACCTTGGGGAGAGGGTACAGATAGGACCCCAGGACCAGCATGGTGATCATCACCACCAGAGACACACACAAGCTTGCCACCTAGTCGGAGAAAGAGCTGGGAGTGAGTGGGCATGGGCGTCTCGCGGCTCATCTTTTGTGGAATGAAAACTAGCTGGCTAAGGAGGGCATGCCTGTGGCACCCGGAACTCTCTGGAACAATTGCTCCGTTTCCACTCCTCCCTGGGTTCCCTGCGACAAGGCTCACCTGAGACCTTCCTCCAGCCCCGTCCACGGCCAGCGTGACAGAGAGGGCACAGCAAATGACGTGGATCTTGAAAAAGGAGCCGAAGAAGTTGCTGCAGCCCAGGGCGATCATCTCCTAGGGAGAGAGGGCAGGGTTGGTGGGGAGTAGGGGCCAGGTGCCAGCAGTCATCTGGGTGAGGGGAGCCTGAGGCTTGGTTTGGAAGGGACTGTGATGCTGTATGACCACACTCTACCACTCAAAAGGCTAGCCTCAGGCTGGGGAGATGGCTCAGCAGGTAAATACTTGCTGCACGGGCATGAGGACCTGGGTTCAGATGCCCAGCATCCGTGTAAAAAAAAAAAGTGGACGTGTAATCCCAGTGCTGAGGGGCAGACGCAGGAGGATTCCCAGAGCTTACTAGGAATGTCGGTGAGAGATTCAGTCTCAAAAAAAAAAAAAAAAGGTTGAGAAGTGATAGAGCAAGGCTTCGGATGTTAACCTCTGTCCTCCCTATGAACTTGCATATATATGTGCACACACGTGAACAAGTAAACTGTCCCCTAAGACTCCCCACAGAAAGAAAGAAAGAAAAGAACAAAGAAAATTAAAAACCAGAGGTCAGTCTCTCAGGTCTAGTCCCCTAATCCTTACTGTCTCACCTCAGCACGGAATCCCAAGACATCTTTCTCTCTCCTTTTTGAGATACTGGGGTGTAACCCAGGGCCTCCTGTATGCTAGGCAAGGACTCTACCACTGAGTCACATCGCCACCCCCCCCTAAGCTGTCATTAGTAGGCTTCTGTGGGTCCATAATCCTGAGCCCTGCCAGGGGCAGCTGGAGATACCTGATTAGAATCCACGTCATAGCCATGCTTGTTGGCAAGGGTCCGGCCCATAGCCAGATTGATGACGTAGCCCACAATTGCCAGGGAAAAGGCTGTGCCCACCATGTCCTTCCACTGCGAAACCACCGGCACCACTGGAGAGGGAAACCTGCCGAGGATCCAAAAGAGGGAGGAGCAGGGCCCAGGGGTGTGAGAAGGAGGAGCAGGGCCCGGGGGTGTGAGAAGGAGGGGAGCTGAGACCCCACCACATGCCAGGGTCTTATTTGTATGGCTTGTCCCACATGATCTCACTCTCTGTAATCAGAAGGCAGGTCCTATCACTCCTGGTTTTTAAAGGAGGAAGCCAGGGCTTAAGAGAATTAACTTGTCCAGGTCAACAAGCCAGTAAATGGGAGGGCTTCACTTGTTTGGGCTCTGACTCCGACTCTCTGCTACATTGGTTTTTAGACCCACAGACCTCCAGTGCTATGAGGCCTGGCCTCCCTCCTCCCCCGTCCCAACTCTGTGAGGTAAGCTTTGTCCCAGTCATCCTGGATCTAACGTGGTGCCTAACATCGAAGAGATGCTTAAAGAATTTGGTTCATCTTAGTGTCTTCCTTTCTGCATGGGTAAAAGAGTATGTACTAGAGCCACGCTGAAAGCCAGCGATGGGCGGGTCAGAGAGAGATCTGTTTGATTGTGTTCAGGACAGGAAACTTATGGGGGCTAGGAGGGTAGCAGTTGAGACTCATTTCCCATAAAGTGGCCAGTATGGATTGGTTATGTGGCTCTTCTGAGTCAGGGTCATAGAGTTTTCAATGAAATTTCACCTGGAGCCTCTCATCTCCATCAGGGCCCCGGGGTCTGGTGGAGAATGGGCTGGGGGTGGCCTCTGAGTGATCTGCACTCACCCATGTTGGATCTCTCCCACGATCTGCATGTGGTATTTTTTTGGCATCTTGCAGCTCCCAGAGATGGCTGTTGCCACCACCACCTGCAGACCCCAAAGTGGAGAATGGATATCGGCTCTTAGCTGGGACTTAGGTCAGGGGTCTTTCCGAAATGTTTTCTCTAGGATTCCCGGATCCCACGTCTTGCTTCCTTAGGGTAGTGTGTGTATGAGACAGCCTGAGCAGTCACGTGATGGGCCATACAACATATTCACATGTGACTTCCTGTCCCGCTGGCCGCCAGTGGAGTGGGTAGAGGGATGGACAGGGGCTCCTCTACTCACAGCCCTCCTATCCTGACCCCCAGAACCCCATCTCCAGGCAGGCAGGATCCTCACCACGATCATCTCCGTCGGGATGGGGAAGTGGATCTTGTGCATGTACCGAGCGTTGAGTTCCTTCACCAGCACCAGGAAGACAGCGCTGACCAGGGCGAAGACGAGCGAGGCGATGTTGGTGTGGGGGAGGTTTTTGCAAATGTCAATGAAGGTCTAAGGGAGAGAGCATCACAGGCTCCCATCCTTTCTTCCCGTACTGCCCTGCCCAGGGGTGCCTGGCCCAGGGGAGACATGCCGCTGGAGACATACAAAGGCAGAACGTAGCCCTGGTTGTGAATGCCATCCCATCTCCAGCTACCCTCTCCCAAAGGGCGCATCAGGAGCGAGCGCTAAGGTGTCCATGCTCTCTCACATTATTCATGTGTGTGTGTGTGTGTGTGTGTGTGTGTGTGTGTGTGTCTGTGTAAGTGTATGTATGCCACACGTGTGCAGGTGCCTGTGGAGGCCAGAGAGAGAGTGTGAAATCTACGAGAACTAGAGTTACAGGGGCTCCACCTGATGCAGGAGCTGGGGACTTTAAGATAATATATTTTCTTTTTCTTGTCAAGAGTTTAAACTAAAAAAGAAAGGTGGGGGGGGGGCTTCCCAGGGAAAGGACTTGAGGCACTGCAATGGAGTCTTCTGTTCTCAGGGATTGACCACAGAGAGCCCGAGTGAGTGCATGAGGATCTGTGTTAGACTCCTTCTGTACAAGGAGAACCCACTGGGATCCCCTCTGCCCAACGGCCCAGCCAGCTATTAGGATGACCCGCTCACTGCCTCCTGAGGATGTGAACTCTGCTCCCATCCTGTCCCTCCCCCAAAGGGTGTTTCTGGACTCACAAAAACGATGGAGCCTGGGCCTGTGTAGGAGGGGATGGTCAGACCAAAGATGTACTTGAGCACTGAGATCAGGATCTGCAGGCCGGCGGCTGTCATGAAGCCCCGGATGAAGGACTCAGAGAGGTAAATGGCGACAAAGCCAAACTGCATGAAGCCCAAGCCCATCTGGAAGGAAGGAAGGAAGGAGGGGAGAGTCCACAGTGGGTCATCTGCTCCATCAGGCCAGGACACACAGCCTGGCCTGGAGCCTCGTGCAGCTCAGAGGCGGCGGGGACTCAGGGAAAAGAGTCCCCAGCAACATTTCCCGGCCATTCACTGTGACCTGGGCGCCTGCCACCAAACCTTAGTTCCCTCCGTACACAGCCTGTCTGTCTCTTCACTACCCTGGCTTCGGTTCCCTTAAACAAACGTGGTCCTCCCCCGGTGCCACCTGGTGCCCAACTGAGAACTCAGAGTCACACCGCCTTTCCTCCCACATGTAGTTAACCAGTAAGAGCTGGTCATGCTCTTGGCAAAATGTTTCTTCCTCCCACCCCCATCTCCTTCTCCATGGCCACCCCTCTGTCCCTCCTGCCTGGGCTCCTGCGGAATCCCTGCCTTAGTTCCACCTACCCACGGTCTTTCTGAGGCTAATAGGACCCAAGTTGCTGCCAAGGGGACGGAGTGAGTGCAGACTTCATTACTGGCCCCCTGCCTACCTTTCTGGCTTCCTCTAACCCTCTGCCCTTGCTGTCTCCTTCCTAGCCAGGCTTCCCTGAGGCCTCGGGGCTCTCGGGTGCTGTTCCTCACACCTGTTCATTCGGTCACTGGTGAACTTCCACTTGTCCTTGCCTTCTCAGGTCAAATGTGCCCTCCTCTCTGAGGACTTTCCTGGGTTCCTACAGCCACTTTGTTCATGGCTCTACTGTGCCTCTTATCTCACCACGGCACACACATTTATCTGTGGACAAGGCCACTTCCTCTGTCCCGCTGGGAGCCACTTGCAAACTGGGCCTTTTTTTTTTGACTTATCTTTATATCCTCAGGGCCTAGCTCAGTTCCTGGCAGAAAACCTTAGGTGAGTGATGACCGAATGATAGGTACGCTCTGAAGTGGCCGGAGTCCTTGAATTCTGCCACATTGTGCCTCTTTCATCAACACCGGAGGAATCCTTTGCACCCGTGGTTAGATGGTCAGCTTATGTGGTGTGCCGGGGCCGGAGCCAGGGCCAGGGCTGGGGCAGAGGAGGCTGGAGGTGCAGGAGGGATGCTGGCAGAGACCAGGGTTTCCCTAAGGGGCATCTGAACGACTCTGGGCAGACCTTAAACTCAGGACAGTTCTGTCAGGGGCACTGCTCCACACAAGGGGTGGAGACTCTAAACTATTTTTAAGGCCCCTTCAGTCCCTAGGGTGGGGAATAGCTTTAACACCACACGGGCGGTTTTGAGGTAGAGCTGAGATGGCCTGCCACCTTCTGAGGTGGAGTTCCTGGTAGGGCTGGGGCCTGTGCTCCTCACCTGGATGACAGCAGTCAGGCAGGCAAGTGTCGCTGACACATGCAGCCTCTCTGCCTCCATGGCTGCTGTGTCCACGTAGGTCTCATTGGTGACGTTGTTGAAGATCTGGAATTTCGACTCCGGGGCCAGCTGCAGACAGATGTTACCCACCAGGATGCTGATAACGGCAAAGGTACCTGTGGTGCCCCACCCAGCCAGCAAAAGTCAGAAGTTTGCAGCATGCCCATGGAAATGACCAAGGGGTCCAGCCCTGGAACACACACCAGCCCCAGAGGGAGGGCTCCCTACACTGGTCACTGCCAGCACATCCCTGGCAGTCACATCTAAGCTGCCAAGGACACTTCCCTAGATCAGATACATCCTTGTTAACATCATCTCTTTGGACACCGACTCAGAAGTGCAAGCAGAGCCTGGACCAGAAACCAGCCCTGTGTCCGGGTTCTCTTCCTCCATCTCACTCGACACTAGACAGCTCCGAATATCCCTGCCGTGGCCTGCTGAGAGCAGCCATGTCTCCAATCTGTTCATGGTCTGCACAGCATATGGTTTATCTTGTTCTGTCACACTTTGCTCTCCTTCCTGGGAGGAAGATACAATAGGCTGTACTGACTGAGCCCACACGGGATTTCTCCAAGGTCGCCGAGGACCTAGGACTCATGCAGCGACCATCCTTTCAGGTTGGATCAACATCAACTCCGGGAGAATAAAGGTGGAAATGGAGCCTCCTTCACCATGCCCTGTGTCTTTGAGGTCCAAGTCATCGTGCCTAGCGGGGGGTCGTCGGGGAGGAGGGGTGGTATGGGGGTGTGGGGAAGAGACCTCACCTGGCACCATCTGGTGTATACCCCCGAGGAAGAAGTAGGTCAGGAGGGGGAAGAAGGAGGAGTAGAGGCCATTGACTGCAGGGAGGTTGGCCAGCAATGCAAATGCCATGCCTGCCGGAGACAAGGAGAGGGAGGCTTAGCTCCGGGAGAGCATCCTCTTCACAGGGGTCGCAGAGTGGGAGGGTAGAGATGGGAAAGGACAGGAGGGAGTGGCCAGCTAGGCCTGGCTGGGGGTGCTCTTACCTTGTGGCACCTGTATACAACCCCCACTGAGTCCACCCAGCAAGTCAGGGATGAGGTAGTCTTTGACCTTGTACTTGGGGAGCCAGGAGAGCACAGGCAACAGCCCAAACACAATGGCTTTGAACTTGGTGGAGGAGCACCTGGAGGAGAAGAGGGCAGGTTACTGGGGGATGCTAGGGTCCCTGGGAGTTGGTTCGCTCAGCGGCCTGAGTGCACCTCCTGTGCCGTGGGGCGCTGCGGAGGGAGAGCCGTGCTTTAAACGGGAGAGCCCAGCAATACACCCCGGTTGCAAGCTCTCCACGTGGGAATCAACGAGGCTGGGCTTCAAGCTGTTGGTTTTATGGTGCCTCCGCCTCCTTTCTCTTTGAGCATCTCAAAAAGGCAACCTCAGTTGTCCCTGTGAGGGGCACTCTGCCAACCTGCTGAGTCCAGCATGGGTGTTCACCACTGGCAAAGCGGCAGAGGGGAAAAGAGATGGGAGAGCCGTTCCTTGGCCAACAGGGTAAGGCGTATCGATCGCTACTGTTTGTGGGGCACCCTGAGATCCTTCCGTGGAAAGTCATGAGTAGCAGGAACAAGGGCTTATACACCTGGGGGTGACAGCCGGTGGATTGATGACTGGGGGTGGGGGTTGCTTTTCTTCTCCCAAGTGAGGGAAGTCAATGCTCCGGGTCCCTCTGGTGACTCACGGGCCGAGTCTGATTAGGCCTCCTTTCCTGCCCCGCACCAATCTTTACTCTTTACTGTTGCTCAACAATGGTTTCCCTGACACTGGGGCCCCTGGATGTCACCCAAGACTGAAACCAACACAGACAATGCTTTGTATCCTGGAAAGTCTAGGCAGATTTTTTTCCCCCTTTCGATTAAATACTCTGCAGAACGGCATCTCCACCAGCCTGTCAGCCCAGCCTCTTCCGGGGCCTGGGGCCTGTGGTGCTTCTTGTGTCCAGGACATGGGGAATGGCTTCATGCATACCTAAAAGGCTTGTGCTAGGAGGCAACAGCCTCGCAGGAGCTCCAGCAGGTTTGTTTATGGCAGAGGAAACTGGACTCACCGGTAGGCAGGCAGCTGGCTGGGGCTGCAACTCACATGCCCAGCCTTCCTGCATCTCTGCCATATGTCAGGCCAAGCAACCTGAAGTCTGCAAGAAGTGCTGGAAGAAGGAGACGCCAGACAACTTATACAGACGCCTCAGAGGCCAGGATGGAGTTGGAGGGAGGCATTAGCTCTCTACACACTCACTCATTCATTCACTCATTCACTCATTCATTCGCTCAACCAATATTCCTTGGCGCACTGCCTACTGCGAGGCTTTTGTGCCAGTGTCATGGACACTGTTAGTTTTCTGTTTCTCTTTAGAGTCCTAATCATCCCTAACCTTCAGGAAAACATCAGATCCTCCATCCCTCCAGCACACAAGCAACCTAAATGTAAACTCCTTGAACCCAAAGACTGGCTGAGCCCATCCGTCTGGGGAGCACAGCTTCAGGGACGAGGCTCAGACACTGGGCACACAGCTCTTGAGTGTCGCTGGGCCGGGATGGAACCTCCCAGGAGAAGCAGAGTTGGTCTAGGACTTTTAGGAAAGACTCCAGTGGGTGATTCCCCCAGCCTCAACCAGTTCCACCTGTGACTCCACTTTAGCTACTGCCGGTGACCTCAATCCAGGTAACTGAATCAGCTGTTTCCCCAGGGGAGTGAGGGAGTGTGAGGTCTGCCAGAAGTCTGCGGAAAAGGGGCGGGGGGGGGGGGGGGGGAGAGCCTGTGGCCTCAGGTTCCTGAGGTATGGATGTGGGCCACCGTGTAAAGCGTCTTCCTGCGGGGCAAGGTTGCACAGCCCACCACCCCAGTCCAGGGACCTGAGAGTGGGAAGAACCCAAAGGCTGGTGAGGCCTCTTAGTACAGCCTAGGAATTTAGGCCCTCCTCTAGGATTTCTGTGAACCAGACAGAAGGACTATCCATGAGGGGGTGAGGCATGGGGAGATGGGACCTCAGGTGCCTTTTGATACACAAGGAACGGGGCGTGGAGGAGGGGCTCAGGTGTTCCCTACCACTCCATGTCATACCATATTCATCCAGAGGTCCTTTGAAGACCCAAGAGAGGCTTAAGAGGACCGAGACTTCAGGAGACACTATGTAGGGGACAGAAACACCCTACAACCCTCAGAAATGGCTAGTGGTTCCTGTTCCTCCTCTCCATCCTCCCTATGGGTCTCAGGGTCTACGAGCTTGCAGGCTCTTATCTTCAGGTTTCAGAATCTCCCCTCCCCCAGGGCTTCCCTAACCCCTTGGGTACTGGTCCAGAAGCAGGATGGATTTTGATGGGGAACAGAAGAAAGAGGAGTCTGGGCTCTGCGCCACGTTACCTGAAGGTGTTGCGAAGTTTCTCTCCCACCGGGTAGGTGCGGTCCTTTTTCTCAAACTCATCATCGAGGAGCGAGAGGGAGTACGCAGCTCTGTCTACCACGTAGCGGGGCCTGGGCTGGCTCATGTCTGGGGCATTGACAAGCTTTAGGAGAAGCAGAGTATGGACAGGTGAGGGGCATCCCTTCTCAGTGCAGCTAGGGCCTTCTCTCTCTGGGCCTCACTGCAACAGAGATTTATTCCGGTCTTCCCGCCCCCATCCAGCAAGGTGCCTCCCTTCCTCCGTCAAGCCTTTCCACCAGGCTCACTTCTTTTGGTGGCCTTCCTTCTCAGGCACTGATGATACACACACTCGCCCTGGCTGTTTTGCTTGGCAGCCAGCACGTGGCTGGCACTCCACACCCGTGACATCACTGTCACTGCTGCCGAACACCAGGCAGAGAGGAGGTGGGAGTGCAGGGCTGGTTTCCACACACGCATCCTACTCCCCTCAGGCTGGGATGGCCCCACTGACTGCTTCCCGCCCCAGGCCTCTGTTTCCCTGGCAGACGGGCTCATGTCATCCAGCCAGTTAATTTTGGAACAATTGGGAAAACAGCCTGCCTAGAGGCAGGGGGCTAGCCAACGTGACCTCAGGAGGACCTTTGTTGGATAAGCCACCGCGCCTGCACACGACTTCACCAACAGGTTTCCCCGGGAAGGACAATGGTGTGCTTGGGGAAGTCTGGATGGTCGGCTTCAGCTCTCTCCCACAGCTTCCTGTGCCTAGCGCTTCCTCCACCCTTGTGTACTGGTGTCTCTCTCCTCCTCACGCTTTGCGCAACCTCAGCGATGTTCCAGGAGCTGAGCTGGGCAGAGCTTGGTGCCAGGGCCCTTGGGGCCCAAAGGAGTTCCCTGTGAGCACCTTTCCTCCGCCCTCCTCTAACTCTGACCCCTTCCCCTGTCCCTCAAGCCCAGCTGGCAAAAGCTATGTAGAGGCCCTCAGGGGAGGAGAGAGATACGGTGGTCTGAGGGAAGACTTACATTTGAGAGGTCCTGGGGAATCTGGGTTGACTGTAACCACAAAAGGTTTGAGATAGGGTTGAACATGGGCAACCACAGAGGGACCCACCCTGCCAGACTTTCTAGGTGAAGGCCTCAGGGAGTGGTTAGCATGTGCCTTTTTGGAAGAGAACACTGGCAAGAGCTGAGCATCCAGGGACCCGAGACTGGTCCTGGCTTTGTTGGAAAGAAGGAAAAGGGTCCTATTGCTCCTCTGATCCTCCAAACCCTCCTCAGCAGTGTGAGCTTGGCTGCCCACTGCACGGGGATGTAAGCATGATGGCCGAGGAGGAATTAAGTACAACGAAAAGGCCAGCAATGCGAGGGTCTCCGTTAAAGAAGTGCTTGAGTTGACTGGTGTACCCATTCCTTTGGTCTGGAAGCTGAGGCAGCTAAGGGCTGGACTGTTAGTGAAACCCCCGTGACGATACCCACCAGAGGGTAAAAATGGGTGGGGGAACCTACCTGCAGAGCCCCTGCCCAGCTACTCGCTTGGTATCTAGTACCTAACAAACGCTCGTTGAGAGAATCAACCAGTGGGGTTTTGGAGGAGACACCGGCAGAAGTGAGTCAGGGCCATGGTATGTGAGACATGTAGTGGGGGAAACGCAGAGTGGCCTCAAGAAAACAGCCCGAGTTTTAGAGGCAGAATGACCTGGGTTCCAAGATGCGGTTTCTTCATCTGTAAGTGGGGATAATAACAGTCTCAGGCAGTTGCTGTGTGGATTAAGTGAGCTTGTGTGTGACTGATGCGCCGCCGGTTTCCGAGGTTCCCAGTGAATGGTAAGGACACTGATTATTAAGATGGGAGGAGGCTTTCTTCCTTAACGAGAGATGATTCTCCAGCCACCAGTCCTCATGCCTCACGGAGCAGCATGGCTTCATTTCCCTCCCAACCTCCCTGGAGTCTGCCAGGGTCTGCCTTTCTAGCTGGTTTGCTCGACAGGCTCTTTGGGAGCTGTGAGTGCCACGTACGACTCCTCAGAGGAACCCATAGTGCCTGGCCCAGCTTTAGGGATGCTCCCAGTTTGGGGAGTATGTCTCAGGCTACTGAACAGACCAAAAGAACTGGCCAAATGTTTCAAGGTGAGCTGACTGACGAAAGAGCAGAGTCACTTAGAAGAGGAATGAGAGGGAGAGAGTCTGGCTTCTGTGCTAGCCAGTAGGATGGGGGTGGGCTGAAGGATTGCCCTAGGCTATTTACTTTTAAAGGTTATCTGTTCTGCTAGCACATTCATTGGGGTGGGGTATCCCATGCTATTATTCCAGATCCCCCAGCAGCTCTTCCATTTCCTCAGGGGTCTCTCTCTCTCCCTCCACCCAGTCACTCCTTTCCTGACTCCTGTCCCCATCCCCCAGCCAATCCTAAGGCCAGTCCGTTCTTCCTCCGTTTCGCCTTTTTCCTCCTGGGCCGGGCCTTCGCCCTGCCCCACCCTCCAGGTCTGGCTCCGCGCAAGCACCATTCTTCTCTGAATTTTTGGCCACCAGCTCTCCTCTCCCACTCGGCACCTATGTCCGGCCGGAAAGTCCAGTCGTCATTTCCAGAAGGACCAAGCCCAGGCTCCTTTTTCAGGCCTTGTGTTCGACGATCCAGTTGACTGGTCCCTCTGCCCTGAGCAGGCTGGTTGTTCACCCCAAACAGGCTTGGGTCTCTCTCCAAAGTGCCTCCTCACCCTAGGTGCTCTGACTCATTGCTGTCTTTCTAGCCCTGCCTGTCCTCAAGACCTGCTCGAATTCCTCCCCCCCACCCCCAGCCGGAAGCCTTTCCCACCACCCTGGCCTGTGGTGACTGCTTTTTCCTCTCAGTTCTCCTTCCTGGCTAGTCTGGTCCGGGTACTGTGGTGGGCTTCAGCCACCCCTGGCTGCCTGTCCAGAAAAGGGAGGGAGGAAAGGGGCAGGGGTGGGAATCCTTTCGAGAGTAATGGGTGTGTGACTCAGCATGGTCTCTGCCCCTCTGGGCAAGGCTTCCCTGCAGCCTGAACTTTGGGAGTCCCCAGTGACACAGGCTACCAGAAGGAAAAGTCCCTTTGCTTTTGGTAACAGTCTGTTCCTTTCCCACACTCTTCCTCATCTATTCCAGGAGCAGGGTGTTGCAGGGGACCAGGGCTTTTCACAAGCCTGTTTATGAAAAGGAGAAGCCAGCAGCTGGTTGAAGTCAGGAAGTTTTGTCTAGACGAGGATTTGAGACTCTGCTGGTCCAACTCTCTTATTTTGTGTTTGAGGGAAACTGAGTCATGGAGAACGGCAGATGTGTGTGAACTGGGCCTCGACAACTACTCAAACACTTCTGGTGGAAGGGGCTCCAGGACCCCAAGGGACAACACTGACGTGTGCTCTCGGATGACCTGTGATCAGACAAGTCTCCTGGGTTCTGTTTTACCTCCCGAGGACTCTGCCTGGGTTTTGCCTCCTCTCCTGGCCTCAGCTTGTCTGGCACGATGACCGAGGGGCAAGTGTGGGCTCAGGGACAACCCTGGCTCTGTTTTCAGGAAGGGAAGGCTGAGGTGGGGTGGGGTGGGCACAGCAGGGATGGGCCCTTCATCCCCAGTCAGTCCTTCAGACCCCGGTGCTGTGGGGGGAAAAGGGGTGAGCCATCACAGTGGAAAGGACCTCTTAGGGGTTCTCAGAGAGCTAAGAGAGCCTTAAGATGTTGGATTGGGTGGGTAAAAAAAAAACCAACAAGAAGGCCGAAGAGATGGTTTCGGGGGTTAAGAGCACTTGTCGCTCTTGCAGAAGACTGGGGTTCAATTCCCAGCACCCCCATGGTGGCTTACAACCCCTACCTCCAGTTCCAGGGAATCTGACAGCCTCTTCTGCCCCTGCGGGCACCAGGCACACACGTGGTATACATGCATACATATAGGCAAAACTCATATACATAAATCCCCCGTACAACAAAAAAGAGCAAGACAGTGAGAGAGGTATCTGGAACGAGATGATCTGATCCCTAGTTAAACACAGTCCGGGTGGGCCAAGTGTCGCTCTGTGGCCACAGCGGTGTATCGAGCCCCAACCCCATCACACAGTGTGTACGTCCTCTGCTTCAACAGATTGCAGGTGCCATGAGACAGTACTGAGGGACAGAAAGGTGAATCTCACTGTGGAGAAAGGGGGAGGGTATCCTGAAGAGCGAGGGGAGGAGAGGGGGAAGGAGGGAAAGGGAAGGGAAGAGAGAGGACATGCGGTCACATAAGCAATTCCTAAATCTGGGGCCTGGAAAGGAGTAAGGTCAGCCTGAGGCTGGAGGAATCTTGAGACCTTGTACAGCTGAGGTCCTGGAGAAAGGGAGAAACGGACTCTGTGAGGACCCCCTCCAGTGAGCTCGGACAAAAGAAAGCCCGCTGGACCTCCTCCCTAGCTTGTGTCCAACGAGGTCTGTGGATCCCCTTAGGATGCTTGGTTGGGTGGAGGGGTGGGGTGCTCAGCACGATGCCCAAGGGAATGAATGGCAGGGTGCCTGGCCCTGGGAAGCATCATCAGTTCTGGCCATTAGTGTTATTACTGTCACTACGGAAGATTCCCTTTCTAGCTCTGCCATCTCAGGCAGCTCACTCGGCCTTCCTCTTCCTCCCTGATCCTAAGCTTCAGTCGCAGGCCCTCAAACTCCCGATGGTTTTCGGACTAATGGAGGGAGACACAAGTCTTTTCTGTAGAAGGAGGGACACGGGGGAGCAGAAAGCTGAGGGCCTGCCCATGGATTCCTGTCACGACTGGAGGTGACCCTGTCACCCGCAGCCCAGAATGACTTCCTCCCTAAGCCCTGGCTGGGGGGGAGGGTGCCTCAGGGGAGTTGTTCCTTGACACACCTGTGCCAGACACTGGAGCAGCCCTAGCTTGGCAGATCACAGGTGTCCTTATCACAGGTGCTGGGTGAGTGGAAAGGTCACCTTGAGGTCCCCTTGCCGTCCTCATCTAGGGTAGGTATCCCGAGAAAGGGCAGTCTCTCTACGGCTCTAAGCTGGTCGACAGGACAGAAGGCTGGGGTCCTAGCTGGAGACTATGTCCCTGCCAGGAGGAGGGAGGCCCTAGAAGCTTGACACCTATAAGGCCTTTTGAAATGCTCTTTCTATTGTCGCTGGGTTTCTTGGGCAAATCTGCAGTCCC